ATATGTATCTATACATATTATATGCTCCTATTACTATTATTTTAATTTATGCGTATCAGATGTTACTATTATATATTACTATTATTTTAATTTACACTTCATACATCATACATCATATGTTTTTACATTTATATATATATATTATACGTTACTATTATATTTACGTATTACTATCATTATAATTTATACAACATACATGTATAAAAAAAATATATACAAATTAAAATTATATCAAATGACATTGTTTTTAAGTATTCACAAATTGTGTGATCCATCGAATCCCAGTGATTTGACGTTCACCCTGTTTCCTTTCCTATACAGTACTTTCTCCACGTCCGGAGATACACGTCCGGATGAGTAGCGCGATGAAACTCATGCTCGTAGAACGCTTCAGTGATAGATCTGTCACTCGACAAAGTTCTTCTTAACAAAAAGAAAGAGTTATAAATATTCGTACGTAAAACATAAAAAGAGTTATAAAAGTTCGTACGTACACGTTCATACATACACGTTCGTACGTACACGTTTATACGTACACGTTCGTACGTACACGTTTATACGTACACGTTCGTACGTATACGTTTATACGTACACGTTCGTACGTACACGTTCGTACGTACACGTTAATACATACACGTTCATACATACACGTTCGTACGTACACGTTCATACGTACACGTTCGTACGTATACGCTTATACGTACACGTTCGTACGTAAACGTTCGTACGTATGAACGTGTATGTATGAACGTATGTGTATGTATGTATGAACGTATGTGTATGTGTGTACGTTAGAGATGACACCACAATGTATGTACTGTGGGAAAGATATAACGAAGAACATAATAATTTTATCTGTTATACTTACATCATCAACAGTTCATATCTAACTACTTCGCGAAATTATTAAACATTAAGCGAACAGTGTTCAACGATATTGTACGGCTGTCGAAGTGCTGACGAACGATTAGCGAAAAGTGTATGGGATCAATCGGTAAAATATCCTTTGAAAAAGTTGCGAGCAATTGTTCTGAGCACAAAACGCTAG